GCCACATGCTGCCAACTTCAGAAAGAGCATCAACCTGTACTTTCCCTTTAGCCTCAGCTAAAACCAAACAAACCCAAATCGGCTTAAGCTTTGAGCTCCCCTCCAGGAGCCACCGGACTTTGCACCAAAACAAGCCCACAGGCGTGATTGGCACTGCATCTCCTCAGTTGCTCTGGAAGTCAGTACAATGTGTGTACAACCACTGCATTCCTTTGGCTGCTCTGGCTGCAGTACAACCTGTACAACCACTGCATCCCCTTGCTAAAAAAGTGTGCATCTACACCACTGGTGCATGAGGTGTACAGGGTATGGAGGCAAACAGAAGCTGCAACTTCAGTTTTGATTTCTGCACTTGGACCAAATTATTTACGAAGCAAAATTATTTAGGGCAAGCTGATATTTTCATAGCAATTCCTTCTTGAAATCTGCATAAAGCATGAGTGAAGACCTAGAAACTTCTGTAACTTACATTAAGGCTACAACTAAAGCTAGACAAGGATAGACAAGCATTGATGCTGGGAGAAATGACCAGTGACAGAATATGCTGATAGAGGCATGCAAGGGAATAAATGCACACTGCAGAGGTACATAGGAAGACACATTTTAAAGAAATCTTAAAGTAGAAATTGCTAATAATTGTGTTAAGAAACACCAAACATTCGACATTGCTTTTTTTTTGTGCTGTGTCATGCTCATGTACAGGTTGTGCAGGGAAGAGGCAGGTTTGGTAAAGGATTTACAGGATTGGTAAAGGACAGCAGAAAGTGCACCAGAAGTTACAGGAAAGAAGAGCTGGGAATTGGAAGCAGACGTCAAAGGGAGTAGAGTTGACGTAAACAGAAAAGAGACTTGAGAGGGGACAGTGAAAGTTAGCTTTAGCTGGAGAGAGGGGAGAATGAGGGCCAAAAGATATGTTGCAATAGTCACTTGTGAGTAAGATTTGAATCACAGTTATGGGGGGGCGAACAGGACAGATTTTAAGTATATCACCCAAGAAGAGAATCTCAGTGACACAGATAAAACACCAACTGGGAAACTGAGATTGAGAGTACATTTATTTCCAAGGATAATAGGGAAAAAATCTGCCAAAAAAGGTGGAAATTTGTTCCCACAGTCAGATTATGGCAAGTACCACATTCATCAAGGAAAGGAAGGAGCAATCCACTCCAGTAAGAAAATAATGAAACTTCTCCCCAGATCAAGATACCAAGCAGTGATTTGTTTTCTAAAAATGTAAACATTTATTATATTAAGTTTAAATTATTTTTAGCAGTTCTCAGGGACCAAAAACAAAAGCCCATAAATAAACCTGCTAAATCCTGCTGCATCTGGTAATGCAGTGTCCAGCACAAAAATAAATGTATAGAAAAGGGATCTTACACTGAGGAAAGAAATTATTTAGACGAGAAGGTAGGGAAAATTTGGGAAAGAATAGCCACAGCTGAATTTTAAGAGTAATTGCTTATTCCCAAAGGATGTTTTCAAGTCAGTAATTTTCCCTCTGCTTCCTCTCCATTCTGCAGAATGCTCCAGCATGGCCTTCCCCTCAGAATAAAGACTTGGGACATCTTGTTTTACTGCATGAAAGGTGTTTTCTCACTGCTAATAGTTTTCTTTAAAGAACTTTTTTATTTAAATGAAGAAATGAATCACACTGGCTGTAATAATGATGAGGGGGTAAACACTAAAAAAAAATTAATTCACTAGTTCTCAACCTGGCTGGCAATCATGTAGTGAAAACCCATAGCAACAATGACAGCACCAGCATAAAGAGTAATGAGAGGAATTCTAAACATTTTGGCTTAAGAATGTTAATAAGTTTAAAGCACCATGATTTTCCATACAACTCTTCTGCAGTCTTTTTGACACAGGAAGAGATGTATGGACACCTGCAATGCTTGATCTTGATGCTCTGACAAGTAATGAATTGTTTCAGTAAGTGAAGAATAATGAGCAAAGTAACTTTCAAGCATGAAAAGAAATTATCTGGATGACCAAGGCCCTACCTTATATAGATGGGGTGGCATGGTAAACATCTCTAACAGAAATTAAATGTAACAGCTTCATTGCTTATTTTGTTGGAAAATATAATCTCATCTAAGATTTTTTTTAAAAAATTAAGTGTCTAAATAGTTTTTTGGAACAGTAGGCTTGTGTAAACCTGTAAGTTGCATCCTGCTTCCATCCAAAACCTGTCATAGTAAAATGAGGTAGATGAGTCTCATGTGACTTAAACAAATGTTTTCATTTATCACCTTTAGCCTTAGAGCTTTGCTCTAATCCAGGAGAGAGACATGCATCTAAAAACAACCAGCCCTCAAATCCAGCCCAACCTAAAACCAACAGCAAAGCAAAGCAGCACAGATATTTCTGTACCTAGGCTACTATGCCAAGAGAGAGTTTCATAAGGAAAACTCAGGGCAGATACTGGTCTCCTCTGCTTCACCAGTTTTCTTGGCTGTTTCGGTTTTCTTAAGGGGTTTGATCTAACTGAGAGAGAATTGTTCTTTTAATACTAATTTGCATACTGTGTATATTAAATAAATCAGATTTAATCCTCTCCTGGTCATTATCACATGGGACTTTTGGCTTTGGCGTATTTTGACCAGGCTCAAAGGTGCAGGATCCAGCATGAACATAGTTATACAGAAAAATATTTAAATTACACTCTGACAGTTTTCTAGACTTCTGCTAGTGACCTCTGCTCATAAAACTTGTTGCTTTGTGATTGTCCAGCCTCTTCTATTCTTTCAATAAAAATTATTCATAGATTAATATATTTTCCAGTAGTACATGTACATTAGTTCTGTAAGGCCTCAATAGGCACTCAAAGAGAAACAGAACCCTATGTATGCTATTTCAGCTGATAAAGTCCTGGCTACATTATCAGGTCTCTGCAGTTCCCACTTCAAATAAATACTCAAATGAGAAGGCTCTATGGCTCTATCGACTTTGTAGGGGGAGTATTTCACAATGATCCAGCAAAAACAAGGCCCATTGTCTGTTAAAATCTCTATCATCAAATCAGCAAGAGAAACCACAGCAAATATTTGAGCGCAGGGTCAGCCCACTTCCTGCATTCTACCCATAGCTGGAGGAGGTGGTGAAGGTGCTGCCAATTTTTCCTGGTATGGTCTGTCCTCTCAGACTTCTGAATGAATCTGTGCTGCTCATCTGCTCACACAGAATTGTTATAAGAGACTCCATATCTGGCCTTTAAATAAATGAAAAGGCATTTCTCTTTTGCAAATGAAAATGTTTTGTGATAGAAATGCTGTGCGTGGCTGTGCAGGCCTCTGACAAAGCCAGCTGGCTACTGGAAAGATGGAAAATCAACAATTGCACAAATCTGGCTGCTTCTTCCACAACTGTCGAGCTGTTAGGCAATTGTAATAAGGTTATTACATATTAATAGAATATAGCACTAATTGAAAGTTATTCCATCTAAAAACCTAGTAAATTATCTAATTTCTGATTTCTAAAAGCTTGCACATTTAAAAAACCAATGGACTTTTATGATATTTAGTACGTGATTAAGATTTGAACTGTGATACAAATTTACACAATACAGTCAGTAATCTACACTTTAAAAGCTCTTTCAGTACAAAAGGAATTACTACAGTCTCCTGTGCAAATATTGTAAGTGTGGAATAGATTCTCCTTCTTTACCACTTTCTGCAACACTAGTCATTTTCATGGACAAAATGTTTCCAAGTTCTTCAGAAGAATCACTCCAGAACAGGGATAAAGAGAGCTCTTCTCCATTCCTGGAGTAACACAGCCCTCCTTTCTGCAAACGGAGGTTGCTCTATGTTTGGTGTGGGCTGAGGAGCCCACAGCTCATAAACAGGAAACAACCCACAACTGATTTTGAATTCCAATAAATATTTTATGATTTTACTGCCTTTGGGACAACACTTGTGCATGAGTCAGGACAAGATGAGGTGTGGATAGAAAGCTGAGTCAGCCTGGCATGCATCTCACTAGCAACAGTGGTGAATCCCTTTTAAACATGCATATTCCACAGGCAAAAGCCTGCATCCATTCCAACATCTTACTCTAGAAAATTGTACTGCAGCACTTCCACCATGTCACCTCACCTGTGAGAAAATATGTAGGTGTTTAAACTGGGAATTAACCTGCTAAATCTACTGATTCTTGCAGCATTGGGTATTGGCCCAGCTTGAGACAGACCTTGGGGCAGGTCTAGTGGTTGAAAAGTCGAAGTGCGACCAGAACCAATTTGAAACAGTGTGAAAAGGCTTAAAATAAATATAAGGCTTTTAGTTAGCTTCTGTTTTCCATGATCAATAGCGCCTTTTGCTGGCTGCTCCTGAGCCATGCCTTTGAGGGCTTGCTGTTTCTGCACTGAGTGCTCTGGTGTCCAGGGCCATGTGCTAAACCCAAATTAATGAGAAATACATGGAACTAAGTGTGGTTCTCACTGCAGTATGTACTAAACCCCCCAAAACGGAGCCTTTCTAGGCCTCATTTAACTTCCCATTGAAAACATCTCAAGTGATGTGACATTGACTACTGTCAATGTACTGTGACATTGACTACTCAGCTCACTAATTAAGTGAGGTTCCTGATTAAATTTTGTTTTAGTTTGTTTGACTGGTTGGGTTTTTTCTTCCCCACATGGAATGCAAAAGTTAAGGCAAACACGCAGAGCCACGGCCCTCAGGCAGGCGGCGCTCACCGTGCCCGCGGCAGCCGGGCCGCCCCCCTGACCGAACATCCCGGGATCTCAGGTTGGATCCCCTCAGCCTCGTGTCCCGGTGAAAATGCGGGGCACGCAGGGACCGGGGCCGGGGGGTTGTGAGGGGTCTGAGGGGAGCGAGAGATGTGAGGGCAGTGAGGGGATCTGAAGGCAGTGGAGGGATGTGAGGGCAATGTAGGCAGTGAGGGGTGAGAAGGCAGTGAAGGGAGTGAGGGCAGTGAGGAGTGCGAGGGCTGTGAAGGCAGTGAGGGGAGCGGGGCTGGCCCGGGCCGCCAATGGCGNCGGGACGGGCAGAGCCGGCCCGGCGCGGGCGGGCGCAGGTAAAGCCCGGTAAACCGCGGGGAGCGGGATTTCAGGGGCTGGAGGTGGGAACAGAGGAGGGGGTGATGCCCCCTGTCGCACGAGGGGCTGGTTGGCAGCTGTCACGTCTTCTAAATGGAACATCTGGATTGCCCTTAACCTGGGATGAACTCGGGCACTAGGCAGAAAGTATGTGTTTGGAGGTTCCTGCTGTTGGCTTGGCTCAGTCAGGCGGGTTGTGCTGTCCCCGGTCGGCTGGGCAGAGGAGGGTCCTCTGTCCTGGGAGCGAGGAACAGGTCATTGGGAACGCCTCCGGGGCTTGCTTTTGTGGTTTGCCGAGTTCTTGGTTGTCCCTATGAGGCTGGATACTTGCTTTTCAAAAAGTATTCCAGAAGTAACAATGGAAAGGAGTGCGAAAAGGTGTTGCCTTGTATCCATATTAAGATTGGCCCAGTCTCACTCAATGACATGGGGAGCTGTTCCTAAACTCTGATGGAAGTAGTATGAGCACAGGATTCGTCACACAGGATTATCTGGAATGATAATGTTTGGCACTTTTGGCATTGGGTGTCTTAGTAGTACTGCACTAATAAAGGTATTGCATAAGTTTTGTTGTGAAGGAAAATAGTGGTAAAACTCCTTGTATTACAGAACATGCACAGTCTTTCTCATTGGCATCTGGCACTGCTCACCTTTTTAAGATTTGTTTTGCAGGCAGCAAAATAGATCAGCTGTAAGAAGTGTTTCCTTTGTAAATCCTGAATCATTGACTTAGCATTGAGGCTGCCACCTGGTCTCGTGCTGGAACTGAGGCAGTTTTGGTTCATGTGATGTGGTCACACGTCTGCTAAACCTAAACCAGCATCATAACCTTTGTTGGCTGGCATGAGCTACTGAGCAGCCTTCGGCTCGTAGGAGCTGAGTGGCAACTTTGGGAATTTCAAGTAATACAATGTAGTGTATTGGAAGGATGAGAGTGTGCAGACCTTATCAGAGGTTTGTGGGACTCCACAGGCAATATGCTTGCTCTTTTTTCCCATGTTTGGAAGGAACTCTTAGCATGGTCCAAGAAAACATTCTTATCAAGCTGTTGGTGCCTTATATTGACTGTCATCCTCTACAGTCAGGTGCATGGGGAGTTTTGGCTACATATTGGAAGCACTTTGTGGGTTTGTCACTTGCTTTGCAGTAGTCCTTTAGTATACTCATTTTCTGTTAATACTGTAGTCTTCATAAAGGGTATCAGGAATTTTAAACCATGGAGAGAGGGTTACACTTAAGTTGTGATCTTGTTATGCCTGTAATATTTTATGTGTGGAGTGTTATAAAAATATAAGGGACAAAAATGTCCTACAGGAGAGTAGGATATATGGCCTAAGATACTAATCTTATTCTAAAAAATGGATTGTAATGCTCACTGTTGTCCCAAAATGGGCAAGGAAACATAACTTTTCTTCCTATTTTTTTCAGAAGCAGCTTGTACTTCAAAATTGCAGACAGCTCTATTCTTGTCTTTTCTATAGCTTTCCTAATGAGATTTGGGTTCCGAGTTCTGTTTCTATTGCACATGTCATATTTTTGCAAGGGGGGAAAAAAAGAGAACACCATACTTGTCTTGGAAAAGAAGTAAAGTTGAATTAATATTTATTAAATGTGCAAGCATATTTTCTTACATCATTTTGGAATTTAAACATTTTAAATCCACTTTTTCAAAATCTCTATGAAACTTTATTTTTTTTGGTATTTTTTTAGCTATGTGTGCTTTTTTTTATATAGGCCTTATAAAGTATATAACAACAAAATATCTGTCTTTGGAATGTAAATCCTCAAAATAAAGGTCCATTGCAAAGACATCTCATGGGGCTGTGTGTGTACCTTGGAAACCACAACTAATCTAAATGTGTCCACAGAAAGACTTGGATATTTGTGAGAATGCTCTTTAGGAGTAAAAGTATTTTACTCTTTAATAGATAATTAAAATAACACAGGGCTGTCACTATAGTATTCTCAGTTCAGTTGTTTTGAAGTCTTTTAGTATGAAGGAAAAAAAATCAGAATTATATTGGGATATACCAGTTTTATTCCCTAGTTAGCTAGATGTCAGTGTGGTCCTGCTGTAAAACTAGGGACATATTAAAAAAACTCAGTTATTTAAAAAATAATTTTAGCCCAAGTGAAATGAAAGCTTTTTTCTTTTTTTCTGGAAGAAGCAAAAAGAAATATTTTTCTTAAGTAATATTACATCACAGCTATGTAAGATAAGTATAATAAGCCCTGGGAAATTTTTTTAACTCTTTATTTTTATTTTTTAAGAATGTCAGCAGCTTTTTATTGATGAAAAACTGCTTGTTATCACCAATCTGCACATGAAATGGAAGGGGAAGAGATTCTGAAAAACAACTTCTGTTTCAGCCTTACAAGATGCTGCATGAAGAGGTGAGTACATACTTAGACTGGCATAGAATCTCTGTAAAGAGTGATTAATGTATAGTCAAATGACTAAAGGAAAGAAATCTGAGCATGTAATGCAAATAAATATTTGATAAACAGAGAACAGTAGCACAATCAGGAGAACAAAGTAAAACTTCCTTATGTTCTGTTATCTACTGCTGTCTTAGCTGCTAGTCAGTATAATTCTGAATTCTTAAGCATTTCAGCATTTCAAAGCTCATCTTAAGCTCAGCATTTCAAAGGACCAGGTCTTTTAAATTAAATATTGAATGACTTTATATGAAGTAGAAGGCTGAATTTTTCACTGAAGTAAAAAGTCTGATAAGGTTAGGCTCTTAATCATCACTATCTTCAAAATAAAACTGAAATTTCTCAGAGTGTGATATTTGTCATGTTTTAAAGACACCCAAGTGATATGAGGAGACTCTTGTGTGACCAGATTGCATGTGGCATTGAGATGTTGCCAAATCTGACTCCACTTCCTCATACCACTTCTCATAGTTTCTGCTTATGAAACAATATTTATTTATAAGTGCATTGCGTGTGTCTTTAAATATCTAAGAAGTGTAATTTCTGTGTCCAGTGAAGGACTTCTCATGCATAGATTAATATAAATTATAAACCACAACTCATTGGCACTCCAGTCCTGACTGAGGCTTGAGTTGTTACACGACTGGTTTTTGTGGGTGTTTTCTAAGTCTTAAAATGTGTATGATGTTAAATTTTTTTATACTTTGCAAACTACCAAAGAGGCATAGTTTGTTCTGTGGTGCTGTATTCATCTAAATTTATTGTTTTAAGTTCAAGTTGTCTCATGCCTGTGGAAACCCTAAGAGTAGGAGAGATTGGCAAGCATTTCGCAAATTACCTATCCCTTTCTAAAAATGCTGATACACTGTCATGGTTTTAAAAATATTTATAAGCTGAGAAATTATTCCCTAAATCCTTCCAAATAGTAAAAGAAACTTGTCCCAAAATGTGTCTGCCTTGAGGAACTCAGCAGTGAGCTGAAGTTGTACTGAGGTTGTACAGCTCTTTGGCATTTTTTTCCGGGGAGATGCAATAGACGTGAAAGCGAGTTAGTCCAATGTTTTCCTATTTCATATTTTTGTATCTCATTAATTTGTTTTCATTTTGTTGAGAAGAATGTAGAAGGAAACCAGAGCTGCTATTTGGTGTGCTGGTTGAGCAAATCCTTACTCATTTGTGAGTGTATAACATCCTGGAGCTGAGAGAACTTAGCATTGTTTTAGAGTTTGATGTATTTTAAATGGAAAAATAATACCACTATAGCTTAATATTATTTGCATTTAACAACAACAAGAAAAAACATATAAATGGATCATTTGAAACTATTCTACATTAAGGTTTGGAAGAAGGTCTTACCGTTTTGTTGTGTATATCCTTGCATCCAGCACTGTTATGCTGAGTAAGCTCTATTACCTGAATATAGGTTTGTAATGCCATTCTTTGTTTTGTTTTGTTACACAAATAAGTGCTACATGCCTATTTTGTCTTAAAAATTATTTGTGGGAAATGACTGATATTACAAACCACTGAACATGAATGTTCATAAGGTGACAACAACTCACGTCTTATTTGCAAAACCTTGTTTGAAAGTGAGAACTTGAATTACTGATGATGTTTGCTAATCTGCTGTTAGTGCTACTGCTTCAGGAGGAATGGTACAAAGTACCTGACACTGGAGTCATGGGGCAGGCTCCCATTAAACAATAACAAACTCTCTGGCATCTTTATTCAATATGTATGGAAAACGTTCCCTGGAGTAGTAAGGCTCAAGAATATGTGGAACCAATTGAATCTGCAGGGGAGGAGGAGGGAGAAGGTGGGTGTTGTGTCAGGAGAAAGCTTTGGAAACTCTTGTTTATTAGTGCCTGGTGGCATTTCTGTCCAACAGGATGGAGGAATCCTCCAGTGCAGCTGGAGGATTAATTAATCATACACTCTGATGTTAAAATACAATTAATAGCAGCCCACAGGACATAGTGAGTATTGTTGGCTTGTTGGCAGTTTTCAGTGGAAGATTACAAAATGGCTATATATGTGTGTATATATATATATATATATATATATATATATGTATATATATATAAAGCAAATGAAGTTTATATATTCTTGCCCACCTCAGGATAAAGGACATGCTGTGTGCAGTTAAGCAGGCCAGTGTGATCAAATCAGGTAGCAGCTTTAGTACCTATGTAAGTAGGAGATAAGCTTTGATACCTAGGTAAGTAAGAGACAAGCAGCACAGGGTTTCTGCCTCTGAACAAAGCAGCAGCTGTGCCTGTCATTCTGTGCTGGAGATGTACAGATGTAACTGTGCATAAACAGGCCAATATTTTCAAACAGCTGTCAAATTTTCAAGCTAAATGTATGTTCTGGGCACCTGATTTTCAACATACTAGCTGCCATAATTCTAACCAAATTCAGAAGGAGTTGCATTTTCTCAAGATTATAAATCCTGTAATAAATCCCATGGAAATGTAATAATGATTATCTTCCAAGAACACAGAATTGTTTCGTTTGCAGCTATCATTCATTTTATTTCTTTTACATGACAAGGGGGCAGGGGGTGTATGTGTTATGAATGAACATACATAAATGCAAAAAAGAGTGGGATGTCCTCTATCAGTGGTTCCTGACAGCCCTGCAAGTGCGGGCTACAGCAAGAAGTGTGGCTATACGGTATGGCTGGATCTGATCTAGGCTCCTTCTTTCCTTCTCCCATCTATTCGCTCCCGTCCGTCCTGTTTGCTGCCCCTCAGTGGGTCTGTTCAGCTCTATAGCTGTCTGTGGTTTTCCTGTGTTTTGCTTCCACCGATTCAGCGAGCGGAATTGTTTCACCGAGGCTGTGTCTACGCTGGAGAATAAAACTGTCCGGTTCCCGGGAGCTGGCTCGGAGTGTCGGGGTCGCAGGGAAGTAGAGCAGCGTGCAGTGCCCTGGGCTGGGCGCTCTCCAGGGAGCTTGCCAGGCTGAGAGCGGTGTCGGGGAGGCTCCGGAGCAGCTCTGGCCCCGGCTCGTTCACCGTGCCAGAGGTGGCCAGCGGGATCCGGAGCGCCAGAGCCAGCGCAGGCCCCGGGGAACAGCGTGGCTGGAAGGTGCGGGGCCAGCAGTGCCAGGGAGCTCCTGAAGGGATATCCTTTTGATGCGAGGGACCTGTTATGTTACTTAAGCTGACTTGTGTAGGTACTCTTCAGGTAACTTTATTTTGCAACCAGTAACTCAGCTGTCGTCCGAAGAGGGACTGTGTGCTGTGTACTGCTCTTTCAAAGTCCGATTCAAGCCAGCTGAAATGCCTTACAGAGTGAAGTAAAACAGGAATATGAAAGTACATAGATGGCTTTTTTAAGAGGTTTTCTTTTCCTGGCTGTTTCACTGGACTCATGTTCTTCCTCCACCTTTCTGCAGTTCAGTTGCTTCCTTGGTTAAAAGGAGTGGGGTGGCAGAGGTACAGCAGTGCTGGTATTGCTGTTAAACACCAGATACCCTTCGTGTCATAGAGGATGAGCAGGGAAAACATGGCAGGAAAATAGTTGGTTATAGTTTGCCACTTTTTGATTACGCAGGAGTGTGAGGCTTGTGATCTCTATTCTGTAGTGAGTGACCTGATTTAGAGCTGTCAAGTCATGTGTCCCAAATATATCCTCTATCTGACACGTCAGGAGCATGCAAGTACAAGTACTTGATGTCCATTTGCCAAAAAATGTAGATTAATTGCATTCATGCCTGTTGCCAAGGCTCCTGTCAGTAACGCTAATTCAGTGTAAACTTTGTTTTGTGTGATAACATTTATCACTAAGAAAAACTTAAAGGTAGGAATGTTTGAATTGCCAGAATAAAACCGAAGGCCTTTTTCTTAAAAAAATCAAAACCAGCAAAAAAACCAGCAACAAAAAGTGAAAGAATTTTGTTTCACATTCCACTCTGAGTTGTGGCATGACATTAAATTGAAGTTAGTTTATTTTTAGCAGGTTTCATTTGTTTGTTTGCTTAAATGTAATAGCTGAGCAACAAGAGCCTGTAAAAATACTTCTAATGAATGAGTAAAATTGTAGCACAATAAAGAAAATAAGTAAACTACGCAACTTCAGATGCTAGTTACAGAAGACATTGAATTATTTTGTGCTGATAGAAGAGTATAAAAGGTGGCCCACGAATTACTCAGTTTCCAAAAAGACACTTGCAAGCAGAAGGGGTCTAAGTCTATAGTATTTTATCTAAGGGTCATTATTTTTCAAAGGATATAAATCCTTCTGTTAAGCTGAATTGAATTTATCAAATAAGTCATGTTATTATGTCTGGACAAGGGAATGAAGTTTATCAGTGAAATAAAACCACTGAAAATACACAGTGCTGGTGTTCTCTGCTAAGAAGGCAAATTCAGGCTTCTTGAATCTCTTCCAGAAACAGATATAAATTCCACTGTAGCTTTTCAAACAGTGAATAATCATGGTCTGTTATGTTTGGTGGTGAATCATGCGAAGAGTTGCAGATGGTGAGGCCGGTGCAGCTGTGCAGATGCTGGAGGAGCTGAGATAGGAGACTGGAGGACCAAGAGGGTGAAGGAGGTGATTTGGGGATGGCTTGATATGGCTGATAGAAGAGAGGGATAAGACAGCTAAGAAAATATTGAAAAGGACTGTAACCTGAGATTTGGGATAAGGAGTGTGCTGGTGACTGAAAGGAGGTATTCTTGAGTAAGATACATATTTTTTGTTATTATTGATCTTGGAAGCAAAGATTGAAGTATCAGATACTGAAGCAACTGGACTTCTGTCCTGAACCAAAACAATAAGGAGCCTGAACTAGAAGTTTAAACTATAAATGAAAAGAGAAAACTAAGAGACTTCATGTCTCTTTTAAAGGAGTACTGGTCTTAAGTAGAAGTACTTTTGTAGGAAAAGGTACAGATGCAAAGTTGTGAGCTTTTTTATTTATATTTTTCTGAGCAGGACGTGTAATA